ATAAGTTACCACGAGTGACTAGTGTAATTCTTACGCTACTGCTAAATGCTTAACTTCCAAACAATGCAGTTTAGGAAACAAGTACATTCAGGAATCCCAGAAACCCAAACATATAGGAGGAAAAGAAGAAAGGTCTTTTTATCTAAAAAGCAATAAAAAATGCAAATGCACACTTACACAAAATAAGCACTGGACCCTCTTGATTAATACACCTAAAAATTAAAGTGTGTTCCCTTATTTTTAACAGCATTTTTTATTGAGACATACTTCATATAACATAAAATCCACCGTTTAAATGTTCACTTCAACAGTTTCCAGCACACCCATCTTGCTGTGCAACCATCGCCACTATCCAACTCCAAAACACTAACATCACTCCTAAAAGAAACCCCGCACCTACAGGCAGTTAGTCTCAAACGGCCCTCCCAGCATCACCTAGCAATCACTTATCTGCTTCCTGTCTCTATGGATTTGCCTGTTCCGGGTATTTCATATAATCACACATTATGTGGCTTTTTGTGTCTGGCTTCATTCACTTAGCATAATGTTTTCGAGGTTCATCCATGTGTAGCATATAATAGCTCCTTTTCATGGCTGAATAATCCTTTATTTTTTGCAGCAATTAAGTGAACATTTCAAGTACTGTGTTTAGACATGTCACCTGAAACATTTTCAGCCATTCCTGGAGGCCTGTGGGTGGTTGGACAGACGTAATTCGGCGTCGTTGTTGTCCTTGGCCATTGGCTGCTCTCAGGTCTCCAAAAGTTGTTGGTGTTGCTGAACATGGTACAAGCCCAGTGGTACTACAGAAAATACAAGAGTAGAAGCAAACATAGATATTTATTAAGAATAATGGGCTCTAATACAATAAGAATGGGATGATATAGCATAGTTCAAACATCAATCAAATTATTATTTTCATTTGCTTATTCCCAGAGAGCAAGGACACACAAAACCTAATCTGCTATTCTTAGAGCAAGTTTCCTCCCTCCTACATAACCACCTGTTTTTATCCGAGCAAAGCTAACTGCAACCAAATGACAAAATCTCTACAGCAAACTGAAAGTTGTTGATAACATACAAATGATGTTAAAACATTTCCTTAGAAGATTTAGATTTTACTTCTCTTATGACTGGTCTCCAGTGACACAATTAAACAAAAGTTTTAATTTTTTCTACGAAAAGGAGTGTGAGACTTATTAATGTTTTAAAAAAATTAATATGTAGAAGTAGTATGGTCAAATGTTTCAGACATTTTACCAGTCTTATCAGTCATTAAGTTGCCTCAGATGCCTTCTAAATAATTTGTAGTATTTGTCTATTTCTTTCCAATTTTCTATTGTTATTTTAAAGCTAGTATAGATAAGACTAGATAATATTTGACAGGAAAAAGCTTTGATTAGAAATGTATTTACTCAAACAGGTAAGTAGTGAGAACTTATTATATTATATGCAAAATTAAATGAGATCATCAAATACTTTTATCCAATAATTTAAACTTTGAGACAGTTTTTAAAAAAAACCCATAAACCTGAAATTCAATTAATTCTGCCACTAGTAAAATAAGAGATGATCTATCTTTAAAATTGTCCAACTCTCCTAAAAATGACTAATAGCAGAAAAAGTAGTTAGAACTATGTTATTAATATATTAAACGTTCTACTTTCTAATCTCAATGCCTAATTTAATTATTTAAACGCAAGGTAAATAATGAACATCTCTATTTTAGAGACGTGGGGGAAAAGGAGCAGGAAGATTCAGTTAACAAAATCACATGTGTAAAATAATTTTCAGTTTATTGAGCTATGATAATAAAGTGCTTTAAATCCAGAGAACATATAAACTGTATCCTAACAGTTGACTATCAAGCTCTGAAAAATTACTAATGAAACAACTCCAATTCTTTTCTATCCAGCGTTTCTCATTATTTTGGTAGAAAATGCATCTCAGTCACTACTAAATTTTACAGAAAAATCTTCCTATCTACCACCTTTAAATCTTTCAACATTATACATCTAAGATGGTCTGTAACATTCAACAATTAAATTTATTTTTTCTTCTATCAAATTTCAAAAGTAAGCTCTATTTTCTTCTCTGAAATGAAATGTGATTATAACTTACATTTTCTAATAAAAATGATGAAAAAGTCATACTTTCATCTTATTATTAGAAAATCTTTCAACAAAACTGAAAAATATCAAATATATACTGACAAAGTCTCTAAAAAGACATGGAAATCAATATGCTGTTTGGTTTGCTTTAAGAAAATTGTATTTTAAAAAGCTAAAAATAAAAGTTTCACCTTTGCAGGTGCTTTCTCAATATAAAAAGCGAGCAAGTAAAGACAAATTTTACTAAAATGTGTTCTGCTTTAAAAATTCAGTTTTCATTAATAAACTACCTTAAGAACAAATGAACCATTTAAGACTTTTGCCCGGGTACTAGCTGTATTAGTAGAAGACCAAATTTATATGGCTGGCTGAAATCTATACAGTAAAAAAAACCTCATTTTAAACATTAAACTCAACGACTTTTGCCCGGGTACTAGCTGTATTAGTAGAAGACCAAATTTATATGGCTGGCTGAAATCTATACAGTAAAAAAAACCTCATTTTAAACATTAAACTCAACTTTCTCATCCAAGAAATAGTTTATCAAGACTAGAAGAAAAAAGCAAAAATGAAGTGAGTAGTTTCACTTGTCTTTCTCTCATTCTACACCCTCTGGTGGCAGTGCCAAAGCACAGTGACATTGTTAAAAAGCAAAGGGTAAGTAAGAGGGAGGGGGGCAGTTAACATGGGTAAATCACACAAAAAACATTTCCTGCATAACCGAGATAGCTTTTTCTCTTCTGTATCATTTCTGAACTTTTTGTATATAAAACTATCCTAATTATTATGATTTCTGAAGGTCACAAAAGAGCATCTGAAAGAAATATTTTCCACAACTGAATGAAATAAAAATACATACACTGTTTCCCTGGAAAAAAGAGATGCAATCCGTAGCAATGTTCAATCGCAAAAATGTATGTCTGAGCAACGTTAATTTTACTGCATCTTACAGAATAAAAATAACTCTACATCAAAATATTGAGGGGAAAAAGAGAAATATCACCATGATGAAGTTCTTATGGCTTCTATATCTAACTTTCAATCAGTCATCTGAAGAAGTGACAATTATGCAAAAAGACCCCCCAAAAGCCCTTAAGATGCTTTTGTCATTTAAATTTTAAAATACCACATTCCAAATGACGTACAAAGCCATTTTTAATTGGCTGGGTAACAGATATTGTGCTTAAGTTAGCCTAATTAGCGTGAGAGTGGGAAAAGTTTTATACTGATGCAAAATCCAAAAATGATGGAATGGTGCAGGAAACAAGACTACAATTGTAGTTAGTTGTTATGGAAACTATTCTACTGGTGTAGAAATGTATGTGCTAAAAACATAAGACTTACCAAGCAAATAAAAGGGGGTTTCTAACACAGTAATTTCATGAAATAAGATTTAGGTAGTAATCGTGGGGTCTATCTCACTGTTAATAAATATGTCTTCAGTTTTGCAAATATAACGCTCCACCCTAGAATAGCTGTTGCTATGGTAACAAGATACATTTGCTCATATGCATATTTTAGGATTTACTTGATAGAATTCCTTAAAAATTGGGATTTAAAAATTTTGCTGATAGGAGGACTTCTGCCTATGTCTTACTTCAATGTATCAGCAACAAAATATAAAGCCATGGTGGTAGTCATTCTTCTCTATTTAGGTTGATAATGTTTCCCAATTTTCAGTGATTGCAAAATGTGTTAAGCAGCCAACAGTACTAGTGACATTATAACTCTATGAGAATAAACTGAAAGAAAGGCTTTTAGAATCATCAACTCTTTTAAGAGACATGAGCATCATGAGAGAATCAATCATTATACTTAATATTACCTTGTATATTCTGAGACTTTGCATGGTTTCTTTCCCAAAGAAAAAGAGCGGACCTCAGAACCATGGTCCAACTTTCTTTTCATCTATAAGGTAAAACAAATGAGATATATTTAAAAAGAATCACCTGTCCAACTATCAAATTTTAGCATTAGCATCAGTAATACTGAAAAAATTCTTAAATTTTTATATGCCTCTAATGTTAATTAGGCATAGTTAATTCATATAGAAAATAAATGTTTCATAGTTTCTTCTATTAGTTCTACTTTGTTTTACTCTTTATAAGACTATAAAGGTGAATCCACCCCCACTCCCAATATTTGGTCCAGAAGAACAGCGTATGGTGATTTAAAAGTTGACAAACATCATACACATTCTTTGAGAGTAATGTACCTTTCCCATTTTCTTTCTAGTTTACGAACCAACATAGGGAAACATGTCATGTTAACCTACACAGAAGAGAACCATATTTAACATGCCTTAGTGATTTTCATTTTCCTTTAAAAACATATTTTAAGAAGGATAAAAGAAACAACAAATTAAAAATTTCAAAATCAGAATGGAAGCGACTTAAAATACATTATTATATAAGGGTAAAAAGAACAATGTAAACAAAATGCTCTTGAGAAGTAATTATGATAAGGCATAAAGCAATGAATATGGGCAATGAGGAAAGTTAAAAAAAAGTAAATCCATAATAAGAGGGAAATGTGGAGATGATACAATAAAGGTAGAAAAAAAGTCATCAACTGCTATTTAGACAGAATATAGTTCTACTTGACAGATGCTAACTTAGGACAAAATATTCTAACTTGAAAAGCAACAACAAAAACAAAAAGACAGAAAAAGAATGAGTTATGCATCTTTGTAAGGTATACCTAATATCTGTAGTTTTAAAGTATTTCATTATGCTGCATAGATATGTAATATGTAAATATATTCAGAATTGTATTTTGTCATCTTCAATATTAAAGTATTTATTCTTTATATTTCACTATTGGTTAATAGAGGTCATCTAGAACTACATGTATGTTACAAAACTATAAAATCAGATCTGGTAAGATTCAACTTTTTCTATCTCAGCATCCCCTCTCAGGTTTGTATCTGCTAGTTAATTACTGTATCACTGAAAATGACAGCAGTGGTGGAGCAGAGGGGAGGGAATCCCAGGGTGATAGACAGTTCTCCTCATTTTTATAAAAAGGTGAAAACCCTCACTTTGCAGCAGCCTTATTTTCTTACCTACTGCCTCACATGGAACATCATTAACTCGCATGCTACACCGTAAATACTAAAGAGAACCAACCAGACTCTAAAAATCTTTTTGAACCATATTCTGGTTAATAAAGACTGCGCTTTTATCATCATGAAGAAAGTCTTCTAAAACACAGGGATTATTTTCCAACGTTAGAGGCAAGAGGTGAGGGTAGGACAAGCTCCTCCACAATTTATACCTTGGCTCATGAAATGCCTACTGAAAGAAATGGAATTAGTCTTATTTCAACCCTTCAGAAGTTTCTGTACTCATTACATTATTTTAAAGTGATTCCTCTCAAAATCCCTTATTTTCTTTCTCCAAATAATTTTGTTAAAAAGCAAAAATAAATACTTTAATACATAGGTAACCACGTGCTTGAATGTGTATAAATTATAGGCACACATGTACATCCACAGAAAGGTATCCATCAGGAAGGTCGGTCAGTACAGATTACCCTAAAAATCTATTTTTTATAACTTTCACAGATTCTCATTTTCAAAACTATTATGAGAAACTTTGATATTCACTGCAATTAAGTTTGTAATACCGGCTTTCAGAACTTCTCTGGATAGCTTGTAAATACATTGGTGCAAATGCCATTTGCCACTAAAAGCAAACTTTATTTCCATCTTAGAAATCCTTCAGCATATAAAAATGCCCAAAATACATATCAAGGGAACCACCGAGAAAGGATTTTTATCTTTAGAATATTTTATAAAACAAAGCACTTTCTGTATGACTATGTAAATCTTTTAAATATTACATTGTTTACTGAAAATACTGACTTAAGAAACAAAAATTAATTCTGCAATTTTTAAGGGCTGCAGAAAGTAAATATAATCTCTTTAAATATAAATACCCAATATTCTAGTGACTGTATGCTTTAAAAGAGTCCACGAAAGAAAAAAAGAAAAACGTATATATGAGGTACAGAAAAATAAAAGGCAAAGGTTCACTAAAAGCTAACTAAGGGTAGAGTATTTCCAGGTCAGCATTTAACGGAGCCACGTTTCTGAAGTCTGAATATATTTTTAGAGAAAAATTCTCAGATTAAAATGTACATTTTATTTTCAATGTAAAGCTTCTTACAGCTCACGTTGTCTTTTCCATTATTTCCTCACATTCACGATCTAAAACAGAATACCAGACATCCAGCCACCCACCAAAATTAGAGGATACTGCAGCCATCTCTGATGATACAGATTTTCCTTCTCAGGCAGGCATACACACACACACACACACACACACACACAATCATACAACACAGGAAGAAAACAGATTACTTACTTTGTAAAAAATCATTTTTAGTGTGCCGTAGAAACCCATATTTTCTGGATTTTTCCCCTTCAGTGATTCTGTGCCCCCGTGTGTCCGGCTGCTTGGCAGTCTCTGACAATATAAACCTTTTTCAGGTAGGTATGTCACAGATTCTAATGTGGACATGCTCAGGCACGTCAGAAAAGGAAGATTAGGGAGCAGAACCGGCAACAAAACTCCACAGCAAAGGCAAATGCAGCTCAGTATCAAGCCGCTTCTCGGGACGCACATACATGCATGCAGCCTGACTGAGGAGAACTCGAGGGAATAATGAGAGAGAACCGAGAAGATTATTGGAGGAGACTGTGCCCTGTCAAAGCCTTGACTGAACAGATTCCTCCCTCAGCAGCAGAGGGATCAGATTACATCTTCCCTTGAACACAGAATGGTGCAGTCCAGGATTCAGCAATGCAGACTGCACATCAATTATATGGTGATCCGCTCCAGGGAGCCCGTAAGCACACAAGGCGCTGAACAGAGGGAGGATGTGGGCAGCAAATGAGACCGCCCCCACACGACAGCCCCCTCTCTCCCCTTTCAAACTTTCAGGAGGTTATTTTTGCATTTTGTAACACCTGCATTTTTGAAGACTTTTACATGGCCAGCGTCATTTCCACAAATAAGTCCTTTCAGAAGCATTTTGAAAATGGAATATATTTTCATATGGTCCTCCCAACAGAAGCAAAGCAGTCTATTTCCCCTAACTGTTACCCTACTGCAGTCCTGGCACAGACTGATCAGATTTTTTCAAGTAGCTTGGATGGTACAAAACGGGCAATTCCAAAGGGAGAAATTCAATATTCTTTGGGGCGATTTACAAGAAAGTAAACCAGTTTGGAGCATACAGCATTTGCAGAAATTACGTAATAAGTTATATTTCAACCTGTACATTTCTTATATTAAGATTTAATGTAAATATTCCCTATGCTTTTCCATTCCATTCGTTTAAAACGTAATTTTCAAGAAAATTACCACACACTTCATCAATCCTTACTAATCAAGAGAATATCTTTTTATGATTAACAAACCAACACTGAGTATAGAAAGTTTGGCTGAAAGGTTCTATTTCTCCAAAAACTGCTCACTGGAGAGTCTTACAATTATTTGTTAATTTAATCTTGGGTAAACAAGAGGCACTGGACTTCTACTTCCAAAATTATTTTCACAATGTGTACTGCTTATCATTAAAAAGGTATTTTATATAATAATAAAGGTTCCAAAGTTGGCCTGAAGGCAACCTTTTTCTTAGAATGACTACTACACAAATCTAGATGTTTCATCTTGCAACTTGCGTGCTACAAAACTAGCTTCAGAGGCAATTATAAGATTCTTTGGACTAGAAAGGCCCATTATTAAGGGTCTAGTTAATTAACTCCCACCCTCCCCATTAACATTCTTTATTACAAATAAACTGTGTGCCTATAGTTATTTAAGTACTTAGAAAGTTTCTTCAGGAAAAAAAGCAATACTATTTAGACTTACTACATTTTAATATTCTCTGACTTTTGTCAGGGAAATGATCCTAAACACTGTATAAAGCAGTATCATAATTTTAAAAATAAATGTTTACCTTTTTAATTAAGACATTAAGTCAGCACAATGTCTTTTAACTTAAAACATAAGCAAAATAAGATAATCTAAAATTTTATGAAAAGGTACATCTTGGGTCTTCTGGAAATTATATTCTACAGTCTATTATCTTTTTAAAAATTCTCCTACCTGGCTCTTAAATTAATCCTTACCCTCAGAAACAGTATGTACAGGTACCAGCAAAAGTTACTTAGTTTTCTAACTTAAAAGACATATTACTAAATGAAAGAAGCTAGTCTGAAAAGGCTACAAACTGTATGATTTCAACCAAATGACATTCTAGAAAAGGCACAGCTACAGGAACAATAAAAAGATCATGGTTTCTAGGGGTTTGGGGAGAGGGAAGGAGGGAAGAATGAAAAGATGGAGCACAAGGGATTTTTAGGGCAATGGAATTATTCTGTATGATACTACAGTGGTGGCTACATGTCATTATGCATTTGTCAAAATCCATAGAATGTACAACATCAAGAGTGAACCTTAATGTAAACTATGGACTTTGGTTGATTTAAAAAAAATTAGTTTTCTACATAAACAATTAGCTTACTTCAAAGGAAAGTTCCTTTTAAAAAGAAATCTCTTACTCTTAGCAAAAAAAATCCAACTGTTAGGAATGGATCCATAAATCCTTTTATTACAGCTTTGGAGTGCTCAGGATTTGGGGGTGGGGGGGAAGGACCCCCTCCTTCCCTCAGTTGTGGGCTATCTGAAGAAATTAACTGTAAAATGAACACCTGAAATTTCCTGTAAGGCCTGTTGGAGGACAAAGAGACTGCCCATCTAGCAGTCATAGAACAGTAAACATCTTGACTTCAGCTGAAGCCATGTCCTATCTCTGGCTGAACTAACCTTTCCAAATTAATTCTACTCAGTTGAGGACACAGGCCAATTTTAATAAACCAAGAGCACTGTCTCAAAATC